GTACTATACATAGATATTGTAAATTTTAAAATGAGAGTAGATGTTTTCATGTATGAGAATTATAGTTTGTCTCTCCTCCCTTTGCAGATTTACTGACTATTCTTAGGACAGATGTTGGACTCATTTTGATTATCCCAGTCATTGAAATGTTATGATCTGTTTCTAGAAATATTTAACATTTCATTTATAAAATGAGATTCACCGTTAACGTGACAAAGGTGAATTTTAATATTCCCAGAAAAAATTACATAAATGTTTATCCCAGTTAACATTAAAACTTTATTCCTCTTTCTCTTTTTGTACCAAATGACCTCAGTACATTGCCAAGAGAGTGAAATTTGGATTCCTCACAGTGTTCTCAGAACACAATACAATATGTTGTTAGCTAAATTTCAATCATATCCTTCTGCTAAAATTGCTCAGTTAAATGTAATTACACATCTACTTATTAGGAAAAAAATTCAAATAATCTATCCCGTTTGCCTTATTTGAAAGCAAATATACTTTAAATTTAGCAACACCTTAGAAATTTTGTTAATTACTGATTGAAACACATATATGGCTTTCTGTCAGTTCTTATTTCAGAATGTTTTACGTTGTTTGAATTAAGACAGTTAAAACTTACATAAGCTATATGTTGAGTAATGTAAAGGACATGCCATTGTTGCAAACATGAAAAATGAAAAAGTCTTTATAAATAGAAAGAATTCCTTACTTGTGATAGCCATCAGCTTATTGAATTGTTTAGTCTTTTAGTTTATCTAATTGTGATTGTAAGAATTTAAGATGTTTTCTTACTACATGTGTTACATTGTTACCTATAATGTCTTCCTGGAAAAAAATCAGATTTGTAAGATCTTTATAAATGCACAATTTATGTATAAATATAGTTGGAAACTGGGATGACTCTTTGTGATCTACTAATATTAATTCAACCAGGCCACCAGCTACTTGACACATCTTAAAAATATAGCATCTTCTGTGTGTGTGTGTGTGTACACATTATTACATTTATTCTCAAATGGGTTTATCACTTAACGTTTTTGTACAAATACTTGAGCTATTCATATAATGGGGAAGGTTGCCGTAAAAATGTACATAAATGTCCCTTAATTTAGCACATGTTTTCATATTCAGTGTTAAAAACACAGCTTTTCATTTATAATTTCTACCCTTTTAATTCTAGCTTCTACTGTATTACTTATTAAAAATGTAGAGGAAATT